GGATCCCCTGAAATTTCGAATGCCATGATTCGAGAGGCCAGCATGTTGGAGGATGGTCCTATGAGGTCATTCAAAAGTCGGCTAATATCCACGGTTTTCTGGAGGGGCTCGAGTCAGGTGCCTCGGAGGAGGTTACCGGTTTGGGTGGAATGCTGGTACCCAAAAAAGTATCATGCTTGGGTTCTGCCGAGCCTTCATCGGTTCATAAACTGGTGGACCGATTCCTAGCCCCGAGTGTCGATCCCAACCGTAGGCGGAAGATAGTGCTCTCCGTACCTGAGGATACCCGAATATTTTCTCCCCCCGTGGGGATTTCCAGTTACCTTCGGTCCTTGGTGACCAAAGAGGATCAATCAGTGATGAATGCAGTGGGGCCCGCCTGTCTCTTTAACGAGGCCCAACACGCTTTGAAACGGGTAACTCTGATGGCATCTTTGTTGTTTCTTTTATACTTAGAATTGTAGGTAATTCTAACATTTTTCCTTCTGTTTGTAGGCTTCGGTATTGCATCACGAGACCTTTCTTAGAATTCGAGAGGAGCATGATGTTGAGGTTCGGAGCCTCATTGAGAAGAGTGACTCTTACAAGCTCCTTAGTGAAAAACTTGGAGCAGATTTGACAGCAGCTCAGGAAGAGCACGAGGAGATGGTTGAGCAAGTATTCCAAATTTTCCATGATAGTGAAGATGAAAAGGAGATAACCAATAACGATTCGATTCTACAGGTTTGACACAGGTAGATTGGTTACTGGCCGAGGCAGAAGAATTTAAAAAGAGTATGGATACCCTTGCCTCGAAAAAGGAAGCCGTTCAAGCTCAGTTGGAGTTGTCTGATGCCCAACTTTGATCTGCGAAAGAGAATACCTCGGGGATGATCGAGAAGATGAAAGAGCTTCAGCATCGATTGGATTTGGCCATTTCTGATAAAGCAGGCTTGGCTAATGAACTTGAAGTGGCCAGATCTGAGGTGATCGAGGCCAATAAAAGAGCCGATGTTAAAGTGGCTCAATTCAGGATCAATGTTGAGGTTAACCAAGCCAAAGCCAAGAGCATGGTCGAACATGTAAAATGGCAAGCTCGGAGAGAAGCTCTCGAGGAGGTCAGTGCTCAGGGCTTCGATGTTGGGGCTGAGATTGAAGTTGCCAGGGCGGAGGAGAACAAGGATCGAAGGTTGGCCTTTTCTAAGGAAGACTCTGATAGCTCGAGTGAGTATGAAGGTGATGAAGATGCCGAGAGCACGACCTCCGATGAGGATCGAGCCATTTAGGACCTTAGGTAGTTTGTTGTGTTCTTTTGAGGATGCTTTCGGTCTTTGTATAAAGAACTTCTTTTTAGCTAAGTTGCCTTTGTACAAGATTTGTAAATATAAAACTTTCTTCCTTTGAAGCAAAATAGCCTTTAGAGCTAAATAAATAGTTTGAATTTTAATTACTGTTGCCTTCGGGCTTTGTGGGTAGTTCCCTTTGCTTTGTCGGGCTCGAATAGCCTTCAGCCTTAAATAGTCGAGTGTTTGTTTGAACTCGAAATAATAAGTAACCCACTCGAAGTAATGTAGCCCGTAGGCCGTAGGCTTTATGGTCGAGTGAGTGCTTGCCCGAACTCGAAATAATAGTTAGCCCGTAGGCTTAGTAGTCGAGTGAGTGCTTGCTCAAACTTGAAGTAATAGTTAGCCCGTAGGCTTAGTAGTCGAGTGAGTGCTTGCTCAAACTCGGAGTAATAGTTAGCTCGTAGGCTCAGTAGTCGAGTGAGTGATTACTCAAACTCGAAGTAATGTTAGCCCGTAAGCTTAGTAGTCGAGTGAGTACTTGCTCAAACTCGAAGTAATGGTTAGCCCGTAGGCTTAGTAGTCATGTGACTGCTTGCTCGAACTCGAAGTAATAGTTAGCTCGTAGGCTTAGTAGTCATGTGACTGCTTGCTCGAACTCGAAGTAATAGTTAGCTCGTAGGCTTAGTAGTCAAGTGAGTGCTTGCTCTAACTCAAAGTGATGTAGCCTGTAGACTTAATAGTCGAGTGCGTGATTGCTCGAACTCGAAGTAATATAGCCCGTAAGCTTAGTAGTCGAGTGAGTGATTGCTCGAACTCGAAGTAATATAGCCCGTAAGCTTAGTAGTCGAGTGAGTAATTACTCGAACTCGAAGTAATGTAGCCCGTAGGCTTAGTAGTCGAGTGCGTGATTGCTCGAACTCGAAGTAATAGTTAGCATGTAGGCTTAGTAGTCGAGTGAGTGATTGCTCGAACTCGAAGTAATAGCTAGCCCGTAGGCTTTGTAGTCGAGTGAGTGCTTGCTTGAACTTGAAGTAATAGTTAGCCCGTAGGCTTAGTAATCGAGTGAGTGCTTGCTCTAACTCGAAGTAATAGTTAGCCCGTAGGCTTAGTAGTCGAGTGAGTGATTGCTCGAACTCAAAGTAATGTAGCCCGTAGGCTTAGTAGTCGAGTGAGTGATTGCTTGAACTCGAAGTAATAGTTAGCCCGTATGCTTAGTAGTCGAGTGAGTGCTTTCTCGAACTCGAAGTAATAGTTAGCCCGTAGGCTTAGTAGTCGAGTGAGTGATTGCTCGAACTCCAAGTAAAGTAGCCCGTAGGCTTAGTAGTCGAGTGAGTGATTGCTCAAACCCGAAGTAATAGATAGCCCGTAGGCTTAGTAGTCGAGTGAGTGCTTGCTCGAACTCAAAGTAATAGTTAGCCCGTAGGCTTAGTAGTCGAGTGAGTGCTTGCTCGAACTCGAAGTGATGTAACCCGTAGGCTTAATGGTCGAGTGAGTGATTGCTCGAACTAGAAGTAATGTAGCTCGTAGGCTTAGTAGTCGAGTGAGTGATTTCTCAAACTCGAAGTAATGTAGCCCTTGGGCTTCGTAGATAGTCCCCGAGTGAGAATGGTTGTTCAAACTCAAGTCGAGGTAGCCCTTAGGCTTTATAGTCGAGTGAGTGTTGCTCGAACTCAAAATATTTTGTAGCCCTTGGGCTTCGTAGATAGTCCCCGAGTGAGAATGGTTGCTCGAACTCGAGTCGGGGTAGCCCTTAGGCTTTATAGTCGAGTGAGTGTTGCTCGAACTCAAAATATTTTGTAGCCCTTGGGCTTCGTAGATAGTCCCCGAGTGAGAATGGTTGCTCGAACTCGAGTCGGGGTAGCCCTTAGGCTTTATAGTCGAGTGAGTGTTGCTCGAACTTGTTGACTTTTCGGTTGGCAGTCCCCGATTTATGGGGTAATGGTCGGCCCTTAAGTCTGTTTGCATAATAGATCTTGAAATGGCGTTGAGCTCGGTATTTAATCTGACTCCGAAACTCGAATCTTGTTCGTGCCTTCTTCAAATCTCACCTCGATATTATGAAGACGATTTTCGGTCCATCTTCACCAATCGTACGAAGGTTGAAAACGATTTTGACCGTATATAAACACGACTAATAAACTTTCAAATATAGAATAATCTCTCCGACAACTATCAAATCTCATCCACTACCTTCCTCTTTCACCTTTCATCCTCTTGTAGCTTACAAAACAAGAGCCACACGTGGATCACCATCTTCAGATCACCAAAAATTTAAAATTTCATGTTGGAAAGAAATAACCCATTAATGGGTAGAGGGTGCGACTACATGTACGTGCATGGCTTGGCTAGTTTTTTCGAATCTAATTTTGGCCTTGCTCCGAACACCCATTAGAACTGCGACGGAAATGGTAGAGGTAATAAATTGTGAAATAGTGAATGAAAAACAGAGCTATGAGTAAGAGAGTGCGAGGAGTATTGGAGAAATCATGAATATATATCGGGTGATGAAGTATTGTAGGGTGCAGCTACTATAGGTCTGGTTGAATAGCCAATGTCATGGCCTATTATCTTTTTCTTTTCTAAGGTTTGGTTTACCGTACAACACTAGATGAAAAAAGATTATCAGTCTTTGGTGATGGTTTTGCTTGTTTTTTTTTTATATTTTAATCTTTTTCTTTTCAGTTTTCTTCTTTTTATTTTCCAATTCAGCCTTTTCTTATTGAAAATTTATCACTTTAGCGACATTACCTAAACAAATGCCACATAGGCGTTGTTAATGATTAGATGCGTTAATTAATTCTCATGTCGTGAGGTAGTAGTGTTAAAATTTAAATTAAAAAAAAGAGATAGGAACTTACTTTAAAATCCGATGCAAGTACATGTATCATTTCATATATTCTTCCTGTAGCTTTGTTTACCCGTAAAACAATATAGTTGAATTTATACGTTATTTATAGACAAGTGAATTGATTTAATCCTAAAATGATAAATAAATTAGGTAAAAATGTAAGACTTAGCGTTAAAATTGAGATAAGATAATAAAGATCTTGAGCCCGGGAACAGAGCTTCCGGAGGCAATAAGAACAATATAAATAGATAAGGAAGTAAAATGTTATTGAGCTTTTGAACAAAGTGTAGTAGTGTATGCTTCTCAGAAAATTTGTCCTTACAATGATGGTAGAGCTCACTTTTTATAATTGTACCTAGGGAATAAGGTTCTAGGATCAAGCCCCTCTTAAATGACAATTATGAGGGTAATTGAAGAGTGTGTAACAGTAGGCGGTAAATGCCTTATACTCTATAACGGACCGTGCACTTAATACTATAGAATATTTTTCATTAAATGCTACTAGGTGGTACACATTTACTTCGCCTTTATGAATAATCATTATTTTCGATAACAAGCGAGATCGTTGCCCTCAGGCTCAACTGTCTTCTGTTTTCGATTCCACGTGTCACTTTCTTGTGCGAACATTAAATATGAACATATTTTACCCCTACAACCTTTTCTTCTTTTTTTTTTTGAAAACTAAGGCTTTTAATTTTTTGAAAACAGTAGCATCTAAAATGTACTGTTCATTTGATGTGCAATTTCAAGGATAATTTTAGTTGAAATCAGAGTCGACTCGTAATGGATCATTTTGGTCAATTCTCCTTCATTTCCCGACATATGTGAGGGAGGTTTAAGGACCAAAGCGGCTTAAAATATAACATGAAGGTCTACAGTGGTTAAGTTCTGAAAGTGGGGGCTAGAGCTGTCATTTACTCGAAGATAAAACTATTCTGAAGAGAAAGCGAAAATTAGAAATCGGGAGAGAGAGAGAGAGAGAGAGATGAACGGCAGAGACGAAGAAAAGGGCTTGGTATGGAAGCTACCGATAGTTAAGTCGAAGCAATTGGGGAAGATTGGACCTGCTTTTGGACTTGGCATAGGCTGTGGTTTTGGTCTCGGAATCGGCCTTATCGGAGGTTCAATTAATTCTTCCCTTTTCCTGACTTCTCATTTTTGAGTAATTAACTCAGAGCTAATATTTCTTTCTTTCGTTAGGCACTGGCTTTGGTCCGGGGCTTCCTGGGTTGCAACTGGGTTTTGGGTTCGGTGCTGGGTGTGGAATTGGTCTTGGTTTTGGCTATGCTGTTGGAAGAGGTATTGCTTATGACGACAACCGTAAATACTCTAATGTTGGAAAGCTCTTCAATGGCCCTGCCAATTTCCCTAATCAGTAAGTTTTACCTGCTCTATTCTTATTATTCATGACCGTTGAGAAGTTCTATTTTTTTTATATTTAGTTCCTTCTGAAGTTTCAGGGCCATTTGATAATTAACAGGGTTAAAAGAAGCATAAAGAACAGTCCTCCCTTTTCCATTGTAGTATCAGTAAAATAATATGTAGCTGTCATATCAAGTGCAACAGCCAACGCGGTAGAACTAGAGTTCGATAAAATAAATACTAGTACTTATCTTCTAAGCTTAGATAAAGGTTTTGGATTACTTCTTACTCTCCCACTGTACCTCAATGAGATATTTTAACCAAAATTCTTGTTTTCTTGTGGCCTATAAGGCCTTTCAGTGTAGTGTTGGACTTATCTTCCTGAATTCTAATCTTGCATATTCCTCTGTAATTCTAGACTTGACCTAATGTTGACCTTGTCTTCAAGTGGAGTGTTTCAGAGTTATTGGTTGGCTATACGAGTTGATCACTGGGGAATATTTCCTTTTAATTCTGCATAGAAAACAGAACATGTTCATCATGATGCGCCTGCAATATTTTCAATGAAGCATAAGTTGCGCAATTCCAAACAAAAGAAGGCTGAAAAGAGGGACACAAACTGGTCTTCTCCTACACTTAGTGTCTTTTTTATTGCTAGTATTCAACAGCCAAATTTCTCTCGTATTTAACGAACTGTTGGAACTATCCTTGATGGGTGTCTCTCTTCGCTCTTGCTAATTGGGTCCTCTTTGGAATTGGGTTTGGAACAGGGGGATCAAATTGCATAACATGATATGTGCTTTGTTTCTAACCATTAAGGTGTAATTCCTAATGCCATATTCGCAATATTGTCAGGGATGAGGTAGGCGAACTCATCGATGAGCTTGTTGTGAACACCAAAAAGCTAATCAAAGCAACTACACAAGAGCTGGACAAGTGGAGAAGGTCCTAATTTGTGTCATTCCCTTTTGTACACAGATCACTCCTTGTAATGTACATGCTAATTCTTAAGTAGCTTAGCTGCTTGGAGCGAAGGTGTCCCTGGTCTAGAAATATAATATGTAAATCGATAAATTTAACTAGTTTCTAGCCGAAGGTTTAGATGCTTTGTCTAAGTGGATATAAATAAGCATTATATATCTGATATTTCATATTTGATGTTATTGGTGTCAAGATTTCCTTTCCTTTAATGTTCTCATTGTATACGGGTAAAACCGAGCCCGATGAGTACCCCGATTTCCCGGTGAGGCAAACGGAGCAGGGACGTGACTGTAAGGAATCAGAGTCAGAGCCAGGAGCCTGTAGTATCAGGGCCCGAGCAGTTGGGTTAGACTGGTGCTCAAATGATTCCTTGCTTGTGATAGCTCTAAAAGTTATTCAAAGTTCTTGTTTTAGTTCATAAGTTTTTCATAAGAGATAGCTCGGAACCGAAGCCAGGTTCCTTGTTAAGCCTTTAACCGAACTTGGACTCACTATCATCATCGGTTTGCCTATTCACTTTATCTTTTACCATAACATATAATTGATTTTTCAGGCAGCTTAGTGGTTAGACTGGTGTTTCTCCCATTTGAAGGAAGTTCATATGCTACATTTGCAAGGTGAACAAACACAGAAGCAAAAGAAACTGGGAAGAGGGGGAATTTATATATTCCGGAATATCTTTACAAAGGCCCAACAAAAACGTCCTGGAACTGAACAAAAAATATGTACAGAATATAAAAACTAAAAAATCCTAAGATTTACGCCTGATCTTCGCTGGAACCCAATTCGTCACCAAAACCATTGGCGCCTTCGGATTCTTCGGGGCCCTCCTCACCTTCGGGTTCAACTAGCTTCTTCGCCTCGGCCTCAAGTCTTTTTGCCTCCTCGATCTCGGCAGATAGGTCGAAGCCTCAGGCATGGATCTCTTCGAGGGTCTCCCTTCGAGATAGCGCTTCACGTACTCAGCAGTGGTCTTCAGGCGAGCCTCGGCTGCTTCGACATCGGCCTTGTATTGAGCCACCATCTCGTCAGCATCGGCCGAGGTTATCTCCAACTTGGACCTCATTACTTCGAGCTCTTTACCAAGGGCATCCCGTTCAGCGATGGCCGAGCCCAGCTGTGTTCGGAGATCCTCATTATGCTGAGCCTGTTTATCAGCTTTCTCCTTCGCCACCCGAAGTTGAACTTCTACCGAAGACAGCTTGGCCTGGGCGGTTTCCTTCTCCGAGGCCAGCAGATCCATCTTGCTTTTTCACCCGTCGACTATTACTTGGATTTCATCCATCTCCTTTCGGAGTTGGTCAATTTGGTCGATCTTCTGCTGGACTTGCGAGGTATCGTCGTTACCGCGTCCTCGTTTCTAACTTCAAAGATCTTTACCTTTTCAACCAAGTGGGCATGCTCCCGCCTTAGGACCGATGCTTCTTTCTGAGTCCCATCCAGCTTGGCCTGAAGGTTCTTAATGACCCCTTCTTGCTGCTCGCGGAGAACCTTGTACATGTCCTTTTTCTGGGCAAGCTCCTTGACCTCAAGCTCGAGCTGGTTGACCTCAACCCGGTACCGAAGGAAGCTCTTGTGATGAAGTACCGAGGACTGCAAAAAGGTGAAAAACATGAGAAACATCAAAACCTAAGTAAAAGTTTGAAGGAACATAATGATGTCTTACCCGGTTCAGCGCCTGCTGCGCCTCATTGAAAAGGCACGACACGTTCACCTCATTATTTTCGCCCGGTCCTCCTCGGTCACCAAGCATCGGAGGTAGCTAGCTATCCCCACAGGAGCAGACAAAACCCGGGCCTCCTCCGAGACGGTCAGAATAACCGATCTCTTGCAACCGGAGCAGGGAATTGGTTAATCAATTTCGGGGTCGAACTCGGCCCGCCAGCTTCCGAGGATGTGTCTTTCTTCGGAACTTCCAGGTCGCCCAGCCTGGAGAAATCTTCCAAAGCGGACGAGTCCACACCATCGAAAAAGGAGTGAAGGGGATCGTCCGCGCCATGGACTCCTTCATTGGACTTCTCCTTTCTTGCTTGAGCCTCGTTGAGCATGGACTCGATGTAGGAGGGCGTCCCCGAAATCTCTATTATACCTGGCGCTTCCTTCGAAGCGGAGCCAGCGTTCTGCGGTGTCCCACCCCAGGTCTCCACATCGATCTCTTGAGTTTGAGGGGGGTCGACCTCACGAGTCTGCCCCTCGGATGCCTTCTGCTCTCCAGGAAAGGTCGTCACGTGGGTGACGAAAATGAGCTCATCCTCCGGCTGGTCCCTGAGCCGGAAGAGAGAGTCAGAGCCCGAAACCCGGGAGCTAGAGCTCTTCCTAGGCTTGCGGGCCACCCTCCTTTGGTTTCTTCACCTCAGAGCCCGAGGAGCCCGACAAATTTCTCTTCATTTTCTTCTTTTCCTCCCCGGCAGCCCCGGGCTGCCCCACAACGGAGGGATCAACTGGCAAGGACACGTCCTCGTCCCCTTCCAAAGGCCTAAGTTTGGCGGTCTTAGACAAACCTACAATAACAAAGGGGAAGAAAAGTCAGTATGATGGAAGATAGAAACATGGTATTAACTATTCAGAAAGAGGCCTTACTATGAGAACGGGCCTCCCATCGGCCCTTCGAATGCCCGCGCCATGCGCGCTCGGAGTATGTCATCTGAGTAAAAATGCCTTTGATCCATTCCTTTAGCCGGGGTACCGCATTCGGAACCCGGGAGACAGCTGCACAACCACAAGTATAAATGCGAAGAAAGAAATTGAAAGAAAAAGAATTTTGACGCTTAAAGAGAGATTGCACTTACGAGATGCATTCCACTTCTCAAGAAATGACATGTACTCGAGGGGAATCAAATCTTTGGTCTTCACCCAAACAAAACGTCCCTGCCAGCCCCGGTCTCGGTTTTCGTCAATACTCGAAAATGGAGCTTTGCTGGCCCGACGAGTAAGCTTGATCAGCCCCCCTCGAAAAATTCGGGGACTGTATAAACAAGTAGATGATCGATCGTGAACCGACGAGACTCGGTCTTGTTCACGAAGTAGCGAAGGAGGATCACAATCCTCCATAAAGATGGATGGATTTCCCCGAGGCACACCTCGTACCTCCTGCAAAAGTCCAGAACAATCGGGTCTACACCGGGCCCCGTGTGAAGGGGTAAGTATAAACACTTAAGTACCCCTCCACGTGGGTAGTAATGGCGTCTTCGGGCCCGGGGACTACTACATCCTTGCCATCCCAATTGCAGTCCTTTTGAACTATGGGAAGAACATCTTCGATCATGGAGCATATTTACCTTGATGCTCCTTCACCCCGGTCCTGTTTGCGTGAGGGTTTCTCGACCTTAAAGTCGTTTGCAATTGAGCAGCCCCCGGGAATGAGCGCTTTCAAGGGAGGCTCGGGGGCCGGTTCGTCAGCAGCCACCTCGGGAGAAGCTGTTTCGAGGGCAACTACTTCAGGAGCAACCGCCTCAATACCGGCGGCCGGTTGGGAGGATGAAGAGGCAACTTGTTGATGAACAGATTTGGATGTTTTGGCCATTGTTATCCGACGAGGTTTAAAAATTTTAAGAAAGAATACGAAGTTTTTGAAAGAACGAGTTTTAAAGATAAGGAACAGAGTATGAAGATTTGAAGGAAATCTAGGTAAAACTCTGGAAATCACTATGAGAATTGAAGAACAAGGATGAAGATATGAAGATTTGAAAGACATTTGATGATAGTTGGAAAGCTCGAAGGTAATAACTTGGTCAAAAAGTAGAAAAAGAACAAAGGATGGAAGCTTTTATAGGGAAACAGGCGACGCTTCGCATTCGGGGGCAACCAACCGATGAGTGACACGTGTCCGAAGTTAGAACGACGCGACTGATGGGATGTTTCGGCTTCTTAGTCGATGGGAAACGACAGATGTTCTCCGGTTCCTGCCTTTCAAACCGCGTATAGCGAAGGCAATCACTCGTATTGAATTAGTCCACATATCCTTAAAACCGCGTATAAATTCAATTGTTATCGATTTTAAGGGTAAACACTCATAATTTAATAAAGCCTTTTGAGAGGCACGTAAACGAGTCGTGAGAAGAAGAAAAATCAGCTTCACTAATAAAAATTGCTGCAGTAATACCAGTAGTTATCTGTAAATAAGCAATTATATTGGCTCTAACTTAGTCTAACAAAATGGTAATATGTACCCATAAGTTTCTACCCCTAATACATACACAAGGAACAAGCTAAGGATTAGTAGAGAGGGGCGAAAGTGTACAAAAAATGTGAATTGAGATTGTTTAATGGCCAAAAGTCAATATACTCGTCTGTTCTTTTAAGAGACAAGGTATGCTGCCAATGGTAGTGATGAGTGAGACCATAACAAACAGGTCGAGTTCGGCCATGACTTTTCACGTTTTAAGTGCTCCAAATTAAACATATATAGTCATTAACATCAATATTAATGAAAACCAAATTCAACATTTGAAAGTTACCTTGGGCACAAGGTGGAAACCTAGTATTGTAATGGTCACATTAATAAAAGCACAAATCTTAAACTAAGTAGCCTTTCAAGTGTATGAAAAATATCAAATCATGTCCCTTAAATTTTGAAGTACTATTATGTGCTGTGGAGTATAATGCACACTGATTGCTCTGACAAGTGAACAAATTGACAACTGAGGCAGAGTAAAGGAGACTGACTTCAGTTTAGATTTACTTCATGAAGAAAGTAAAATAGCAGTCCTCATGAAGCGCTTGAATCTGCTAGAATTGTTGTATGCTGCCATTGGCCGGCACTGTTCCTATTTTACCCTGATTCTCCTGCTGTTTTGTCACGTTACGGTAGGCGTCTATCACTCCATACTTTTTCATGCATATATAATTAGTCGTTATGAAAGGCTTAGGCTTAGGCCGGCACCTTTTATTCTGTTTCATTTCCTTGTTTCCTTCACCTTTTTGTCCTCAAACTGCTGACCTCTACTATGCACTCTTCCTTGTATAAAGCTTCTCTGTACCTCCAATGGAATCCGGAGAGGTCAAACAAGAAGTTGGAAGTAAACGAAAGCTGCCATGAAACGAAATATATCCATGTTTCTTCAGCTTCTGCTCATTATTCTGATGATGATCAGCTTCTTATTTACTTCTCTTCTTGTACCTTCGGTCTCTGCAACAACTCTCAATACCATTTCCACCTGTTTAATCAATTACAAAGTCAGTAACTTCTCTGTTTACCCAACAAGGAATCATGCTGGTAATAGTTACTATAACTTGCTTGATTTCTCCATTCAGAATCTCCGATTCGCAGCGTGCTCTAAACCAAAACCAACTGTCATTATCGTACCAGAGAGCAAGGAGCAGCTGGTGAGCAGCGTTCTGTGTTGCAGACAAGGCTCGTATGAAATCAGAGTAAGGTGCGGTGGACACAGTTATGAAGGGACTTCATCAGTTTCCTTTGATGGTTCCCCATTTGTGGTCATTGATTTGATGAAATTAGACGGCGTTTCAGTGGATGTGGATTCAGAAACCGCGTGGGTACAGGGCGGCGCTACACTTGGCCAGACTTATTATGCCATTTCCCGAGCCAGCAACGTTCATGGATTTTCAGCTGGTTCTTGCCCAACAGTTGGGGTTGGCGGGCACATTTCCGGGGGTGGTTACGGATTTTTATCCAGAAAATATGGACTTGCTGCTGATAACGTGGTGGATGCTCTTCTTGTTGATGCGGAAGGACGGCTATTAGACCGCAAAGCCATGGGAGAAGAAATCTTTTGGGCCATCAGAGGTGGAGGTGGAGGAATTTGGGGAATCATTTACGCCTGGAAAATCCGATTGCTCAAAGTGCCCAAGACCGTGACCAGTTTCATAATCCCTAGGCCTGGCTCCAAACGATATGTGTCCCAACTAGTTCACAAATGGCAACTTGTTGCACCAAAGTTAGAGGATGAATTTTATCTATCGATCTCCATGAGCTCTCCTAGTAAAGGAAACATTCCTATTGAAATAAATGCCCAATTCAGCGGATTTTACCTAGGTACAAAAACCGAAGCCATTTCCATCTTGAATGAGGCCTTTTCGGAGTTGGGAGTTCTGGAAGGTGACTGCAAAGAAATGAGTTGGATTGAATCAACACTTTTCTTCTCCGAATTAGATGACGTTGCGAATTCCTCCGATGTCTCTCGTTTGAAAGAGCGTTACTTTGAAAACAAATCATACTTCAAAGCCAAATCAGACTATGTGAAGACCCCAATTTCAGTGGGTGGGATTATGACGGCTCTTAATGTTCTTGAGAAAGAACCCAACGGACATGTCATCTTGGACCCTTATGGTGGAGCCATGCAAAGAATTAGTGAGGAAGCTATTGCTTTCCCTCATAGAAAGGGTAACCTTTTCGGAATTCAATATCTAGTAGTGTGGAAAGAAAAGGACAATAATAATATTGTCAAGAGCAATATTGGGTACATAGAGTGGATAAGAGAGTTTTACAATACAATGGCACCCCATGTTTCAAGTTCACCTAGGGCAGCTTATGTCAACTACATGGATCTGGACCTTGGAGTGATGGACGACTACTTATTGCCATGTACTAGTACTACTGCGTCTGCTAATCATGCCGTGGAGAGAGCAAGGGTCTGGGGTGAAAAGTATTTCTTGAATAACTATGATAGATTGGTCAAAGCTAAGACAAAAATTGACCCACTAAACGTTTTTCGACATCAACAGGGCATCCCTCCTTTGTTCGCCTCAATGCAAGAGTATACCTATAGTAGTAAATGAGATATAACAAATATATGTTCTAGCTCGTACTATTTAGGACACATTATTGGGTTGTCAGTTTACCTTTTTTTAATATAAAAAAAAAAAAAAAAATTGTTAGTTGTCCTATATAACTTTAATTTGCCTCCTGGGATGTATCATAAAGGTTCATGTATTATTTTATTTTTATTTTTAAAAAAAGGGAATAGCTCTTCCAATATTTAATCATGGAAAAAGGTAACCAGCGACCATAAGTTTTTATTAAGCTGAGAATGAAAAGCAACGGAGACTCACAAAGGTTGTGGTGGATAGATATATAGTATCCTCAAATACTTAATTATTTAATCATTTTTGTTGTCTCTCTTTTCCTTTATATTGTTATGAAAATATTGCATTGTGGATGTTCATTTATTACTCCGCTATAGATAATCTTTCTAAAAAAGATTATCCGTTTAATACTCTATTGAAGTTTATCTACAAGCAGAGGTTGCAAGCAATTCAATGAAATGATTTGCAGCAACTTCTTATTAAACAGGCAAGTTGCGAGCAGCTCATGCAGACAGTTTACAAGCAGCTCAAGAAAAGCCCCGTAGCTGCTTCATGAAAAGCCTTGCAGCTGCTTCCGGAAAAGCCTTGCAGCTGCTTCCTTTCTTCTATAAATAAAGGAGTTTTCAATTCATTATGTATATCAGTTTGAAATTGAATAATATATCAATGTCTCTTTATACTTGTCTTTACTTTACAATCTTTATTTTATAACACGTTATCAGCATGAGACTCTGCCATCTCGAGCAAATACTTTGAAAGTATCAGAGGTACGAACTTTCTTTTTCTAAATAATGTCAAATCTTTCTAAACTTGAATTTGTAGCCCTGGATATATCGGGCAAAAGCTACATGTCTTGGATGTTTGATGCTGAAATTCATCTTGATGCGATGGGTCTGGTAGACACCATCAAGGACAAAAATCAGGTATCAAACCAAGACCGTGTCAAAGTAATGATATTCCTATGCCATCACCTTGATGAGGGCGTGAGAATGGAATATCTTACTGTTAAAGATCCAGTCATACTATGGAATAATTTGAAAGATAGATATAACCACCTGAAGATGGTCGTTCTTCCATAGGCACGATATGATTGGACTCATTTAAGGCTACAAGATTTTAAATCTATTAGTGAGTATAATTCTGCTATGTTCAGAATTATTTTTCAATTGAAATTATGTGGTGATAATATGATCATGATATGTTGGAGAAAACTTTCACCACTTTTTATGCCTCGAATATGCTCATGCAGCAGCAATATCGAGAGATGAGATTCAAAAAGTATCTGAACTTATCTCACATCTTCTTGTAGCCGAGCAACATAATGGGCTATTAATAAAAAATCATGAAAGCCGACCTACTGGTTCTTGTCCATTCACTGAAGTCCATTCATTGAAAATGAATGAGACGAACTTCCACCAAGCTAAGCGTGGAAGAGTTCGTGGCCCCAGTCGTAGTCATGACCGTGGTCGGGGAAGAAACTCTAATCATGGTAATAATAATGCACCAAAGAACCCTCCTCACCACCAGCAGTGGAAAAGGAAGGAACAAAAGCATGAAGCGGTGCAAGCAACAAATGTAGAAAATGCATGCTATAGATGTGGAGGAAAATGACACTGGTCACGTACCTGTCGTATGCCAAAGCACCCGGTTGAGCTTTATCAAGCCTCCCTGAATAAGACAGAGAAAAATGCTGACGCAAATTTTATTTCTGAAGATAATTTTGACTTCATGCATTTGGATGTAGCTGATTACTTTGCACTCCCAGAAGGAGAAACAAGTCATGTGATTAGTGATGAATCTGTAAAAGTATAAATATTTTAATTTTTGTTGTTTGTAGTAGATAGTATAGTTATGTAATTGTTGTACATAAATAAAAAGTTATGCTTTGATAATGATGTTTACTATAATATATTTTGTTTATGTCATTTTGAAGAATATGGATAATCCTCAAATTATGTTTGGATCAAAGACCAATCATAAAGATATTTGTGTAATTGATAGTGGAACAACTCATGCTATATTCAAAGATCAGAAATACTTTTCTTATTTGTATAGGGAAAAAGCAAATGTTTCTACAATTTCTGGTAATATAAGTTTGATAGAAGGCTCCGGAAGAGCCACTATATTTCTGTCAAATGGAACAAAACTTATTATAGATAATGTATTATTCTCCTCCAAGCCCCAAAGAAACTTGTTGAGTTTTATAGATATCCGCCGAAATGGGTATCATGTTGAGACGATAGATGAAATGAATATGAAATATCTTTTTTATTACAAAGAATATTTCTAGCAAGAAGTGCATTGTAGAAAAGTTACCAACTTTATCTTCTGGCTTATACTATTCAAAGATTAGTACAGGTGAAGCACACTCTATCATAAACCAGAAGTTTACTGATTTAAATACTTTTGTGCTTTGGCATGGTCGTTTGGGCCATCTTGGATCAATAATGATGAGACAAATTACTGAATATTCGAGTGGGTATCCATTAAAGAACCTGAAGATTCTTACAAATGATGAATTTTCTTGTGATACTTGTTATCAAGACAATGATCACTAGACCATCACCAATGAAGGTTGGCATTGAACCCCCTGTCTTTTTAGAGCGTATATATGGGGATATATGTGGACCTATTCACCCACCAAATGGATTGTTTAGATATTTTATGGTCCTAATAGATGCATCTTCAAGATGGTCTCATGTGTGCCTACTATCATCTCGCAACTTGGCGTTTGCAAAGCTATTAGCCCAAATAATTCGATTAAGGTCACAAATCCCAGATTATCCTATAAAGGTTATTCGTCTTAATAATGCTGGAGAATTCTTATCTCAAGCTTTTGATGATTATTGTCTATCAGTTGGGATAAAAGTTGAACATCATGTAGCTTATGTTCATACTCAAAATGCCCTTGCAGAGTCATTTATTAAACGCATGCAATTGATAGCAAGACCACTGCTTATGAAAATAAAATTGTCCACTACTGTTTGGGGCCATGCTATCTTGCATGCAACATCACTTATTCGTCTCAGACCGACGCATTATAATAAATATTCTCCGTCACAATTAATTTTTGGTCATGAACCAAATATTGCGCATCTACGAATTTTTGGATGTGTTGTATATGTGCTAGTAGCACTACCACAGCGCAGTAAAATGGCCCCCCCCAGAGAAGGTTAGAAATATATGTTGGGTTTGAATCACCCTCTATTATTCGATATCTTTAACCATTGACGGGAGATTTATTTACTGCTCGATTTGCAGATTGTCGGTTTGATGAAACTAATTTCCCACAATTAGGGGGAGAGAAAAAGAAAATCAAAAAAGAAATTGTATGGAAAGTTTCATCATTATCTCATTTTGATCCACGTACCCCTATATGTATTCAGGAGGTCCAGAATATCATCCATTTACAAAATATAGCAAATAAAATGCCAGAGGCGTTTACTGATTTGAAAAGGATAACTAAGTCATATATCCCTGCAGAGAATGTGCCAATCCGAATTGATGTCCTAGCAGAACCATCTACTAGCATGAGAGCTACTGAACCTAAAGCACGCCTGAAGCGTGGTAGGCCTTTGGGTTCTAAGGATCGAAATCCTAGAAAAAGAAAATCGCCAAATGATCAAAATGACACTATGAAGGGATCTCCTGAAGAGACCCAAGATCTGATTAGTTCCGAGTTTCCAGAAGAAATGAATGAATCCAAGACTCAAGTGAGTGAGGAACTTTTAATAAGTTCTACTGGTGATGAGATTAATTTAAATCGATCTGAAATAGTGGTGGATAATATTTTTGCATATAATGTTGCACTTAACATTATGCAAGATAGTGAGAATTTTAAACCCCGATCTGTCGAAAAATGTCGACAAAGATCTAATTGGCCAAAATGGCAAGAGTCAATCCAATCAGAATTGAAGTCACTTGTTAAAAGAGAGGTCTTTGGACCAGTAGTCCAAACACTTGCTGGTATAAAACCAGTTGGTCATAAATGGGTTTTTGTGCGAAAAAGGAATGACAAAAATGAAGTTGAAAGATACAAGACTCGCCTTGTCGCACAAGGATTCTCATAATGACCCGGAGTCGATTATGAAGAAACATATTCACCCGTTATGGATGCCATAACATTTCGATATCTCATCAGTTTAGCCTTACGTGAAAGGCTTGAAATACATCTGATGGATGTGGTTACAACTTATCTGTACACTTGATAATAAAATTTACATGAAAATCCCTGAAGGATTTAAAATGCCTGAAGCATATTCAAAATCTCGGAAAATGTATTTAATCAGATTACAAAGATCTTTGTACGGTTTAAAGCAATCCGGGCGCATGTGGTATAATCGTCTCAATAAATATTTGTTGAACGAGGGTTAAATAAATGATGTTATTTGTCCATGTATTTTTATAAAGAAAATAACTTCAAAATTTGTTATACTTGCTGTTTATGTTGATGACATAAATCTTGTTGGAACTCCAGAAGAGCTCCAAAAGGCAATTGAATATCTTAAAAAAGAATTTGAGATGAAAGATCTTGGAAAGACAAAACTTTGTCTTGGTCTGCAAATTGAATATTTAGCAGACAGATCTTTATCCATCAATCTCCCTATACAGAAAGGGTCTTAAAACACTTTTACATGGACAAAGCGCACCCATTGAGTACACCAATGGTTGTTCGATTACTTGAAGTGAATAAGGATTTGTTCCGACCTCCAGAAGAGGATGCGGAACTCCTTGGTCCCGAAATACCTTATTTTAGTGCAATTGGTACACTTATGTATCTTGCTAATGCTACGAGGCCCGACATATCATTTTCTGTTAATTTACTAGCAAGATATAGCTCTTCTCCTACACGGAGACATTGGAACAGGATTAAGCATATATTGTGATATTTAAAGGGAACTCTTGATATGGGTTTATTTTATGCTAACAAAGATAGTGTAGATCTTGTTGGTTATGCAGATGCGGGTTATTTATCTGATCCCCATAAAGCTTGATCTCAAATCGGGTACGTGTTTACATGTGAAGGTACTGTCATATCATGACGCTCCACAAAGCAATCTATTGTTGCTACTTCTTCAAATCATGCTGGGATAATAGTTATTCATGAAGCAAGTAGGGAATGCGTATGGTTGAGATCAATAATTTATTTTATTCGAGAAAAATATGGTTTGGAATGTGAGAAAAGACCCACAATTTTATACGAAAATAATGCTGCATGCATAACCCAATTAAAGGGAGGATTTATAAAAGGAGATAGAACGAAGCACATTTCACCAAAATTATTCTACACACATGATCTTCAGAAAAATGGTGATATTGATGTGCAACAAATCCATTCAAGTCACAATCCGACATATTTGTTCCCTAAATCTTTGCCAACTTCAACTTTTGAGAAGATGGTATACAAGATTGGAATGCGAAAACTCAAATATTTGAAACCAA